GAGAGATCTGCTGTGAGTCTGATGGGCTTCCCTGTGTGGGTAACCCAACCTTTCTCTCTGGCTGCCCTTAGCATTTTCTCCTTCATTTCAACCCTGGTGAATCTGACGATTATGTGCCTTGGGGTTGTTCTTTGTGAGGAATATCTTTGTGGTGCTCTCTACATTTCCTGGACTTGAATATTGGCCTGCCTTGCTAGGTTGGGGAAGTTTTCCTGGATAATATCCTGAAGAGTATTTTCCAGCTTGGATTCATTGTCTTCTTCACATTCAGGTACACCTATCAAAGGTAGATTAGGTCTTTTCACATAGTCCCAGTTTTCTTGGAGACTTTGTTCATAGCTTTTTACCCTTTTTTTCTCTAATTATGCCTTCCCATTTTATTTCATTGAGTTGATCTTCGACCTCTGATATCCTTTCTTCTGCTTTGTCAATTCAGCTGTTGAAACTTGTGCATCCTTCGTGAAGTTCTCGTGTTGTGTTTTTCAGCTCCATCAATTCACTTATATTCCTTTCTAATTTGTCCATTCTCGTTAGCATTTCATCAAATCTTTTTTCAAGGTTCTTAGCTTCTTTCCATTGTGTTAGAACATGTTCTTTTAGTTCACAGAAGTTTCTTACTACCCACCTTCTGAAGTATGATTCTGTCATTTCGTCACACTCGTTCTCCATTCAACCTTGTTCCCTTGCTGGTGAGGAGTTATGATCCCTTGTAGGAGGAGAGGTGTTCTGGTTTCGGGTGTTTTCATCCTTTTTGTGATGGTTTCTTTCCATCTGTATGGATATATCTACCTGTCGTCTTTGTAGTTGCTGAGTTTCAGATTGGGTCTCTGAGTGGACGTTCTGTTTGTTGATGATGAGGTTATTTCTGTTTCTTAGTTTTCCTTCTAACAATCTGGCCCCTCTGTTATAGGGCTGCTGAGGTCCACTCCAGGCCCTGCTTGGCTGGGGATTGCCTGCGGCAGCTGCAGAACCATAAGGGTTGCTACCAGTTTCTTTTTCTGCTATCTTTGTCCCTGAAGGATACCCGCCAAATGTCAGTCTGAGCTTTCCTTTATGAGGTGACTCTTTGGATATACAGGGGCCTGGGAGCTGCTTGAGGAGACAGTCTGTCCTTTATAGGAGCTCAGGTGCTGAGCTGTGAGCTCCGTTGTTCATTCGGAGCTGCTGGGCAGGTACGTTTAGGTCTGCTGCAGCAGAACTCATAAACCGCTTTTTGTTCCCAGGTGTTCTGTCCCAGGGAGTTAGGCCTTTATTTATGAGTTTCCATTGTGCTGCTGGCTTTTTTTTTCAGGGCTGCCCTGTCCAGTAAGGAGGCAGCCTGGTCACTGTCTGGCTGCAGAGGCTTTGCTGAGCTGCTGTGGGCTCTGCCCAGCTGCCGTGTGAACTTCCCTGCAGTCTTGTTTATATGGGTGTAGTTAGAAGTGCCTCGGCAGTGGTGGCCCGCCTCTGTATTGGCCGAGTCTCTATGTAATGGCAGGTTGCCTTGGCAATGGCGGGTTGCCTTGGCAACGGCAGGCAGCCTCGGCAACTGCAGGCTGCCTCAGCAATGGTGGACTACCTCCGTAGTGGTGAAGTGCCTTGGTAATGGTGGACGACCCTCCCCCACAGAGCTGGACCGTCCCGGGTTCAGCTGCGCTTGCTGTGAAACTCTCAATCCAGAGAGTTGCTGATTGCTGTTCTTTTGTGGGGGTGGGACCAGCCGAGCCTGATCACCTGGCTCCCTGCCTCAGAGCCTTTTTTTTCTTTTTTAGTTTAACAAGCAACTCTATCCCAGTCGCCTGTTGAAAGGGCGCGGGGATCTGTGTGATTTCCCCTGCGGCGACTCACTGTGCTGGCTTAAACAGCGGCGCTGAGATTCGTGGTACTTTTTTTGCCTAGGAATCTCCTGGCCTGGCTCACTGTTCAGTCCCCTCTTTAATCAGATGGATGGGTGACTTCCTGGGTCTCCAATCGCCAGCCAGAAGAGCACCCGGACCAGTGTATTTTGTACGGAGAACCGGGCGCCAGGGCGCCGACATAGCAGCCGTGCTGGGCAAAGCAGCCATGCAGGGCAAAGCAGCCGTGGGGACCAAAAGTTCCGCACCAGCCAAAACAGCAGTGCTGGTGACCCGTGGGGCTCTTCCGCCTGGGAATATCCTAGTCCATGGGCAATAAAAATGCAGCGTCCACTCACCCTATGTGCTTTCACTGGGAGCTGCAACTTCGAGCTGTTCCTAAACGGCCATCTTGGATCTTCCCCCCCTTTTTTTTTCTGTTTAATAACAATGGTTAATTATTTACCTTTTTTTAAAATTTACATTTTTAGAAACATTAGTTACCCTCAGATCTAATCTTCTGCTCATTTGTCCTACATTTACTTCCATATTCTTTTATGTGATGTAATATATACCATTTCCATACTGATGATCCTTGGCACTAATTTTCTTTTTTTTTTAATCTTTTAAATTTTTATTTTTTGAGACCGAATCTCACTCTGCCGCCCAGGCTGGAGTGCAGCCTCCACCTCCTGGGTTTAAGCATCGCCTGCCTCAGCCTCCTGAGTAGTTGGGATTATACATGTGTGCGCCACCACGCCTGGCTAATTTTTATATTTTTACTAGAGATGGAGTTTCACCATGTTGTCCAGGCCGATCTTGAACTCCTGACGTCAGGTGATCTGCCCACCTCGGCCTCCCAAAGTGCTAGGATTACAGGTGTGAGCCACTGTGCCCAGCTGCACTAATTTTCTCTTTAAGAATAGTTGTCCAGCATCTCCCCTGGCCCATGAAATTTACTGAAACTGATTTTATTCTTATTCTCCCAGTCCTTTCTTTCATTTTTCTATTTAGTAGCACCACCTATTCTACTACCTTAAAGTTTTAGAAGCATCTCTCAAAATGTTGGATGGATTACTTGGGGACTTTACTAGTCACTGTCCTATACATTTAACAAGTTCTCCAGATAATTCTGATGCACACAAAAGATTAAGAATCACTATCTTCAAAAGTCATCTTTGCCTTCTTTTTTTTTTTTTGAGATGGAGTTTTGCTCCTGTTGCTCAGGCTGGAATGCAGTAGCACCATCTTGGCTCACCGCAGTCTCTGCCTCCCGGGTTCAAGGGATTCTCCTGCCTCAACTTCCTGAGCAGCTGGGATCACAGGCATGTGCCACCATGCCCGGCTGATTTTGTATTTTTAGTAGAGTCAGGGTTTCTCCATGTTGGTCAGGCTGGTCTTGCATTCTCGACCTCAGGTGGTTCGCCCACCTTGGCCTCCCAAAGTTCTGGGAGTATAGGCATGAGCCGCCACACCCAGCCATCTTTGCCTTCTTTCACAATCCTTACCCAATGTTTTACTATGCCCTCTTGAATTTTTTGCCCATGCTATATGTCTGTATAGCCAGTTGTTATTTCTATAGCAGTGGCTAACCTTAGATTCTCAGTTTCATACTTCCATTGTATTCTATTTGCATTTTCTAGGGCCCTTTCTTCATGTATAATTTTAATAATCTTATTCACCTATTTAAAAATCTTTAGTAAATTTCAGGAACAAATTTGTGTAATATATGATATCAATCTTGTTTTAAAAATATAAAGAGGCCAAGCTCTTTATAGTTTTGCATTTTATAAGAGGTGGCTCACGACTTTAATCCTAGTGGTTTGGGAGGCTGAAGTGGGAGGATTGCTTGAGGCCAGGAATTTGAGACCAGCCTGGGCAACATAGCAAGACCTTATCTCTCCAAAAAACAAACAAACAAAAAAACCATTATCCAGGCATGGTAGCACATGCCTGTGGTCTAAGCTACTCAGCAGGCTGAGGTGGGAGGAGGCTTTGAGCCCAGGAATTTGAGGTTACAGTGGGCTATGATCAGGCCGCTGCACTCCAGTCTGGGTACCAAGGTGAGACCTTGTCTTGTACATAGATTCAATAGATAGATAGACAAAGAAAGGAAATACACTAAAATGTCCGTGCTCATTATTTTTGAGGGTAGGATTATGAATTATATTTTATTTTTAAAATGTTTTTTTCTATAAGTGTATATTTACTTTATAATTAAAAGAAAACTACATTTTTGAAAAACTGTTTCCCTATTGGTTTGTTCTATCAAATGCAAATTCTTCTGTTGGCCTTCAAAAACTTCACTTTGAAGTTTTTACCTTCTCTCTTTTCTGGCCTTACTTTCACAAGTCTAGTGGTTCTCAAAGTGTGATGCCTGTATGAACAGTATCAACATACTTAGATCTCCGAAATACAAATTCTCATGCCCCTATCCTAGACCTGTTGAATCAGAAAGTTGGGATCGGGATCAGCAGAGTGGTTTAAGTCCTCCAGGTAATTGTGATGCATGCTGAAGTTTGAGAACTACTAAACTAGTCAATTTTTCATTATCCCTGCTATAAATCTCCTGTTCCACCTAAGCCAATATCTATGCTAGTGGTTCCCAGGCTTTTCTGGACATTGAAATAACCTGGTCATCTTAATGAATACATATGCTGGTTCCTATCCCTAGACATTGTGGTGTTATTGGTAGCGAGTGACTTGGTCATCGGGACTTATGAATACTTCTCAGGTGATTGTAAAGTGCAGCAGAGTTTGGGGACCACTGGTGTCTCACTTTACTTTCACCTAGTCAGCCTTTCCAAGGGAATTCCTTGCCCTTCACCTGTGTACTGCTTTCTGCTTATTTCTGAAAACTATTCAAAATACACTTATTCTTGGAATCTGTCTTTATCCCACTCTTTTGATCCCTGAGATGTTTATGGAAAGTGAATGCTATAAACTGTTTACAAATAGTCCCAAGTTTCATTCGTATTTGTATGTCAGTTGACAGGAAGTTAACATTTTTTTCCTCTCCCTTTTAAAAAAATTTCCCTGACTATGTCTCCTGCTCAGCAATCATGAGTCTCACAGATACTAAGACAAAGGTGTGACCATTGTAGAATATTCAGATGATTATTGTTGATTCCTTAGATTGTTTTTGTTATATTTTAAGATATCACTTCAATTTTTGTTTCATTCAAGCTGCAGCAGATCAACTTCATGAGCCTAATGCAAATAGTAGGATCATCCTTTGCTAACCTCCCCAATACGCAACAACTTCTACAGCAGTCTCAGTCTGTGCGTTTAGGGGGAAGCCAAGAATCAAACCTAAGAGGATGTGGTGATGTTGAAGACAGCAACAAAAATCTTGAGGAGAGATTTTTTATCAAATCACAGTCAATGGGAGAGAACACCAGAGAGCCTCACAAGAATAGCCCATACTGCCATGAAGGAACTATCCCATCTGGTCAAAATAGAAATGAAAATGTACAGGTAATATATATAAAAATACCATTAATGGCCGGGTGCGGTGGCTAACATCTGTAATCCTAGCACTTTGGCAGGCTGAGGCAGGTGTATCACCTTTGGTCGGGAGTTTGATCCATCAGCCTGGCCAACATGGTGAAACCTCGTCGCTACTAAAAATACAAAAATTAGCCAGGCATGGTGGTGTATGCCTGTAATCCCAGCTGCTCAAGAGGCTGAAGCAGGAGAATCCCTTGAACTTGGGAGGCAGAGGTTGCAGTGAGGCAAGATCATGCCATTATACTCTAGGCTGAGTGACAGTGAGTCAGTGAGACTCTGTCTTAAAGAAAAAAAAAATCATGTTCTTTATTTATTTTTCATTTTATTGGGCTACATATTTTTATAGAGAAGTTTTTTTTTGCTTTCTAAATTGCATTTTAGGTTTTGGGGTACATGTGAAGAACATGTAAGATTATTGCTTAGGTACACACATGGCAGTATGGTTTGCTGCCTTCCTCCCCATCACCTATATCTGGCATTTCTCCCCATGTTATCCCCTCCAACTCCCCACCCCGGCTGTCCCTCCCCTGTTTCCCTCCCACAGACCCCAGTGTGTGATGCTCCCCTCCCTGTGTCCATGTGTTCTCATTGTTCAACACCTGCCTATGAGTGAGAACATGCGGTGTTTGATTTTCTGTTGTTGTGTCAGTTTGCTGAGAATGATGGTTTCCAGGTTCATCTGTGTCCCTACAAAGGACATGAACTCATCGTTTTTGATGGCTGCATAGTATTCCATGGTGTATATGTGCCACATTTTTCCTGTCCAGTCTATCATCGATAGGCATTTGAGTTGGCTCGAAGTCTTTGCTATTGTAAACAGTGCTGCAATGAACATTCGTGTGCATGTGCCCTTATAACGGAACAATTTATAATTCTTTGGAATTATACCCAGTAATGGGATTGCTAGGTCAAATGGAATTTCTGTTTCTAGGTCCTTGAGGAATTACCACATTGTCTTCCACAATGGTTGAACTAATTTACACTCCCACCAACAGTGTAAAAGTGTTCCTATTTCTCCACATCCTCTCCAGCATCTGTTGTCTCCAGATTTTTAATTATCATTATTCTAACTGGCGTGAGATGGTATCTCAATGTAGTTTCGATATGCATTTCTCTAATGACCAGTGATGATGAGCATTTTTTCATGTTTGTTGGCCTCATATATGTCTTCTTTTGTAAAGTGTCTGTTCATATCCTTTGCTCACTTTTGAATGGGCTTGTTTTTTTCTTGTAAATCTGTTTTAGTTCTTTGTAGATTCTGGATATTAACCCTTTGTCAGATGGGTAGATTGCACAAATGCTTTCCCATTCTGTTGGTTGCCAATTCACTCTAATGACTGTTTCTTTTGCTGTGCAGAAACTGTGGAGTTTGATTAGGTCCCATTTATGAATTTTGGCTTTTGTTACCAGTGCTTTTGGTGTTTTAGTCATGAAGTCCTTGCCTATGCCTATGTCCTGAATGATTTTACCTAGGTTTTCTTCTAGGGTTTTTATTATGTTAGGTATTATGTGTAAGTCTTTAATCCACCTGGAGTTAATTTTAATGTAAGGTGTCAGGAAGGGGTCCAGTTTCTGCTTTGTGCACATGGCTAGCCCGTTTTCCCAACACCATTTATTAAACAGGGAATCCTTTCCCCATTGCTTTTTTTTTGTGAGGTTTGTCAAAGATCAGATGGTTGTAGATGTGTGGCGTTGCCTCCGAGGCCTCTGTTCTGTTCCATTGGTCTATATCTCTGTTTTGGTACCAGTACCATGCTGGTACCATTTTGATTACTGTAGCCTTGTAGTATAGTTTGAAGTCCGGTAGTGTGATGCCTCCCGCTTTGTTCTTTTTGCTTAGAATTGACTTGGCTATGCGGGCTCTCTTTTGGTTCCATATGAAGTTTAAGGTGGTTTTTTCCAGTTCTGTGAAGAAGGTCATTAGTTACTTGATGGGGATAGCGTTGAATCTAAATTAGTTGGGGCAGTATGTCCATTTTGACAATATTGATTCTTCCTAACCATGAGCATGGAATGTTTCTTCATCTGTTTGTGTCCCCTCTTATTTCGTTGAGCAGTGGCTTGTAGTTCTTCTTGAAGAGGTCCTTTACTTTCTTGTTAGTTGTATTCCTAGGTATTTTATTCTCTTTGTAGCAATTGTGAATAGCAGTTTGTTCTTGATTTGGCTCTCTTTTAGTCTGTTATTGGTGTATAGGAATGCATGTGATTTTTGCACATTGATTTTGTATCCTGAGACTTTGCTGAAGTTGCTTATCAGTTTCAGGAGACTTTGGGCTAAGGCGATGGGGTCTTCTAAATATATAATCATGTTGTCTGCAGATAGAGACAGTTTGACTTCCTCCTTTCCTAATTGAATACCCTTTATTTCTTTTTCTTGCCTGATTGCTCTGGCTATAACTTCCAATACTATATTGAGTAGGAATGGTGAGAGAGGGCATGCTTGTCTAGTGCCAGATTTCAAAGGGAATGCTTCCAGTTTTTGCCCATTCAGTATGATATTGGCTGTGGGTTTGTCATAAATAGCCTGGTCTTGAACTCCTGACCTCAGGTGATCCACCCACGTTGACCTCCCAAAATGCTAGGATTACAGGCATGAGCCACCGCACCCGGCCAGGGTTTGGCTTTTTATCCAATTTGCCAGTCCGTGTCTTTTGATTGGGTTGTTTAGCCCATTTACATTTGTGGTTTATATTGTTATGTGTGAATTTGATCCTGCCATTTTGATGCTAGCTGGCTGTTTTGCCTATTAGTTGATGTAGTTTCTTCATTGTGTCGATGCTCCTTACCAGTTGATATGTCTTTAGAGTGGCTGGTACTGGTTGTTCCTTTCTATGTTTAGTGCCTCTTTCAGGAGCTCTTGTAAAGCAGGCCTGGTGGTGATGAAATCTCTGAGTAATTGCTTGTTCATGAAGGATTTTACTTCCCCTTTGCTTATGAAGCTTAGTTCGGATATGAAATTCTAGGTTAAAAGTTCTTTTCTTTGAGGACGTTGAATATTGGCCCCCACTCTCTTGGTTTTTAGGGTTTCTGTTGAGAGATCTGCTGTGAGTCTGATGGGCTTCCCTTTGTGGGTAACCCGACCTTTCTCTCTGGCTGCCCTTAGCATTTTCTCCTTCATTTCAACCCTGGTGAATCTGATGATTATGTACCTTGGGGTTGCTCTTCTTGAGGAATATCTTTGTGGTGTTCTCTTTATTTCCTGGACTTGAATATTGGCCTGCTTTGTTAGGTTGGGGAGGTTTTCCTGGATAATATCCTGATGAGTATTTTCCAGCTTGAATTCATCCTCTCCATCACATTCAGGTACACCTATCACACGTAGATTAGGCCTTTTCACATAGTCCCATATTTCTTGGAGACTTTGTTCATTTCTTTTTATCCTTTTTTCTCTAATCTTGTCTTCTCATTTTATTTCGTTAAGTTCATCTTTGAACTCTAATATCCTTTCTTCTGCTTGGTCAATTTGGCTATTGAAACTTGTGTATGCTTCGCGAAGTTCTCGTGTTGTATTTTTCAGCTCCATCAATCATTTATATTCCGCTATAAGCTATTTATTCTCGTTAGCATGTCATCAAACCTTTTTTCAAGGTTCTTAGTTTCTTTGCATTGTGTTCTTTTAGCTCAGAGAAGTTTCTTATTACTCACCTTCTGAAGCTTGTTTCTGTGAATTCATCAGTCTCATTTTCCATCCAGCCTTGTTCCCTTGCTGGTGAGGAGTTGTGATCCCTTGAAGGAGGAGAGGTGTTCTAGTTTTGGGTGTTTTCATCCTTTTTGTGTTGGTTGCATCACATCTTTGTGGATTTATTTAACTGTGGTCTTTGTAGTTGTTGACTTTCAGGTGGGGTCTCTGAGTGGATATCCAGTTTGTTGATGATGAAGTTATTTACTCCTGTTTCTTAGTTTTCCTTCTAACAGTCAGGCCCCCCTGCTGTAGGACTCCTGTAGGTCCACTCCAGGCCCTGCTTGCCTGGGGATCACCTGCAGCGGCCTCCGTTCTGTCACTGGGAGCTGCAATCCCAAGCTGCTCCTAATCAGCCATCTTGGATCCCTCCCAAAAATCATGTTCTAAGTAGTTCAATTGTTGTCACATTTTTTGTTGAGTAAATACTTTTTTTTTTCTTTTTTAGCAGTTCCTACATTTTACCTACTTCAAATCATACTGAACACCATTTACAAAGTAAGGAATTTCTAATATATGCTAAACTTACACGATATATTTTTTTCTCTTGCAGAGTGTTCCACATGGGAGTATTCCTCTATGTCAATTAAATGGCCTGCCCCAGAAAAGAGGACCAATTCCATCATCTCAAAACTTACCATCCAGTTTGTTTTATCCAGCTCCTGCTGAAAATACTAACCTCTACCTTTTGTCCACACCTTCTGTTGTTCAGAAGGCACCTAGACTTATCCCACATGCAAAAACATTTAGTCCTGGTGATGGTTTTCCCTTGCTTCAATTTAAGCCTAAGCAAGAATTCAAACCCCTTTTCTTACATACAGGGAGCCTTCCACAAGTTCCCTTCAAGCCTCTGCCACAACAAAGAGAGGCTTGGGGATTATCTGATTCCTTCCAGCCTGATCCACCAGAAAGAGTGGCACAAACTATACCAGCACCCCATTTGAATGTAAGCCAGTATAATACTGAAGCCAAAAAAAAAGAAGCTGAGCGCAAGACATGGGCAGGAACTGTAATTACAGAAATTCCTAAGCATGTGAACTTGGATCAGTATGTTGGACAAGAAAACTTGAGACCTCAACAGGACTCTTCAGTGTTTATAAAACCAGAAAAACTATTTGATGTTAAGCCAGGGCCCCTTGAGATACCTCCTCACCATTCCTTTGGACTTCCGTTACTATACCTGCCACTTAAACCTCCTGATAGGTTTTCATCAACCTCAAGAGCCTCAGTTACTGTTCCCTCAACACTCATCCAACCTGTAGCAGAAGAAAGAAAATACCCAAGCCTGTTATTACTTCATTCACATTTGTCCCCAGAAAATATGGTAATCAATTTTTGCATCATAATGGAAAAACAGTGTCCTGCATTTTTTAAAATACCATAAGTACTATATGATCAAAGAAAAGCTCTTCCACATAAAAAAATGCTTGTTATAGAAAATAACATATACAAATTGGGCTGAAAATAATGATTGAAGCTGGGCATGGTGGCTCATGCCTGTAATCCAAATATTTTGGGAGGCCAAAGTGGGAGGATCCCTTGATCCCAAGAGTTTGAGATCAGCCTGGGTAACAGGGAGAACCTGTCTCTATTTATTAAAATATTATGTATTTTAAAGGTTTTAGGTCTTTCTATCAATACTGCAATTTACTGGACTCTTTCATAGATATTTGCTACTCTAGGAAGAAATTTGAAGTAAAATTACCAGGTGCTTTGTGTAAGATTCAAACACTGAAAAAAAAAAGCAAAAAATAATTACCAGATGCTCATGTTTATGTGTGTCTAGAGTGAGAACAAGTGAACACACATATTGTTGGAGGTTTCTAGCAATTATTATATGATCTTCAAATCTTTCACAGGTTAAATTTGTTAAATAGACTCAGATCTGTGAGTAGTAGTGCATATATTAAAATGGTAGTTTTATAAACCTACCAAGTCCTCTTTAAAGGCATAACTTTTGATTTATGAAATTCAAATGGTGTAGGCTCTAGTTTTGAGGACAGCAGTACTGTCTTTGGGAGGTAATTCAGTAATGCATTCTTTGGTGTACCTTTATGATTTGAAGATGGTACTGGGAAAATAAATGATTATTCCTTTACTTACCATACCTACTTTTCTTCTGAACATATAATGAGCAGAAGAAGAAAGACTAAAAGGAGTGGAACAATAGATATTTTAAGAAAAATTATTCTAAAATTTTTTATCCAAATAGTATAATGAACTTTCAAGTTCTCATCACCCAAACCCCAAGGCTTCAGGGATTTTCAGCATATTGCTGGTCTTTTCCATTCATGCTTCTGTATCTTCCCTGTTGCAAATAATTTCAAGTTAAATGCTGGACATTACATAATTTCACTCACAAGAGGAAAGTGTTTTTTTTTTTTTTTTTTTTTTTTTTTTTTTTTTTTTTTTTTTTTTTTTTTTTTTTTTAACTTTAGCATGCCTTGT